GAAAATTGAAAAAAAATGAAATGAAGTTTTCCTATAATTACATGAATTATAGCTAAACCTCTCTATCTGGAATCTCACGGAAACGAGGAAATATTCGAAATATAAGTTTCCTATAAGTAAACAGTAATAGGTTTGATTGGAGGTACGGTATTGTATTAATACAATAGCAAGTACTGTATATACCTTTATTAATTGAAACTATATACTGTATTGCAAGAGATGTTTCTCAACTGCAATTGCAATAGTACCAAAATGCAGTCACTGAGCTTTAAAATTGTAATTGACACTTCGGTCCATAATTTGAAATATAGAAGTTTTGGAAGAAAATTATTTGAGATAAATATGAAAAATACATTAAGTTAGAATGAAAATGCAGGAAAAAAATAAATTTTGAGATAGAGAGATTTTCGAGATAAGCATGTTTGAGATAGATAGGTTCAACTGTATTTTGAAGGAAATATTTTTAATGATTTAATTTAATACACAATTAATATTTTAGAGCTATTCTTGTTTTCACCAAAATGCTTTTCTTTCTCCTGAAGCTTTATATATTTTCGTCATTTTGTTTCTCGCTCCTCATGTTCATTTAATGTTTATTTTTTGGTCTTTTGGCAATGCTCTTTCAAAGTTTAACGGATAAAAACAATAAATAGACATAATCATAGAAATAAAACGATTAAAATCTATCACAAAAATACGTTTTTTTTAAATAAATGAAATAACAAGAAAATTATTCTCTTTTAAAAATAGAAATAGCTTATTCATTACCCATTCATCTGAGCTTTCATTACGTTAAATCTTTTTCTTATGTAAAGTAATAAAATAATTGTATGTTTTCATATGTAGTTAGTTATAGATAATATTACTTTTAACAAATAAACTAAACTATTACTCTTAATAAAGCCATTATCTTTTGCAGAGAATACTACAATACATTTACTGACGCAGCGTTTATGCTTTCTGGAAGATAACGATTAAATATTAAATTCAATCAATCAAATAATGCGATTGAAAAATAACTGCATTGTCATTCCTTTACAAGAATTAAAATGAAGTTTTCTCAATCGATATCAGTTTAAAATTTTAAATGAAAATAAATGTTTTTCAAATGATAGAATAAATTAGTTTTCCACAATACGTACAATAGCAGCATTTGGAAAGAACATTCTTCGACGATCAATTAATGATAATTCTGCATTTTATTGTCGCCATACTCCAAAAACTTTCATAACATTATTCTCAAAGAAGTGAGCCATTCTACTTGTTCACAATTTACATTTTTGAATTTTATATTTAAAAATACATAATATAGGTGTCCGTGAAAAATATTACAAATATTGATAAATTAAACTGCAAATCTGAAATATTTATAAATATTGAAGATTCTAATAAAAATCTTGTCTACATTAAGCAGAAGCCAGAAAACAAATAAGAAACATAAAATTAAATTTTATTAAATATTTTCTCATTAAATTTTAATCTTGTTAAAGCTTCATTAGTAACCTTTATTATATCATATCTAAATTTCATAAATTGAGGAATATATGGTTCTGGATCACTGAAAATTAGTAAAATAATAACTAATAAAAACACAGCAGGCACCTATTACATATGAGATTGCCCATAAATTACGTAAAGCTATTTTTATACTTTTCAACTAACATCCCAACCCTCTGGAATCCCTTCATACGCTGTCACGCATACCATCCGCAAAAGACAGCCGGATGGACAAGCGGTAAATAGCTTACCGCTATGGGAACCCAGGATCAAATCCGGACTGGTCAAAACACCTCAGGAAATTTGGGGTAGTCCGTCTAAATTGTCGGACACCTGCCGGCCACCCCATTGACCGAATCCATAATGGGCTTACTAAAAGGTGCTCTTGCTACCAACAGGACAGAAAAAGTTTAATAAAAACTCTCCCCAAAATTATAAATTGCATTTTTTCTATCAATTTCTTTAATTATACTAAGAAATAGCACATAGTACGGGCACTGAATGTTATATTATTTTATTAATTAATTACATATACAAAGTAGTAACATGAACGGTACTGTACTATCAATATTAGCTATGCAACGCCTTTTTCTTTCATGTTCGTTTTTTGGAGAATTATACAGCAAAAGTTATAGACAAATCAGAAGTTATTGCTATTTGGCCAAAAACTACCAGTAGCTAAATTCTAACATATTTAATAAACAACCACCTAAAGTCCCTACCATTACCTAACGCTTTTATTAATCTCCCTTTCTTGTAACGCATCGTAACGATTAACTGCATACTCACCCATATCTGTGCTAAGCAGTTTACAGACATGCCCATGGGACTATTGATTAAAAACACAATAGCTATGGTTACCATAGCGAAAGAGTAGACATGAATCAGCCTGATTGGGTCTATGCCAGATGAATGGAATGGAAGGGGACATGTAAAAGTTAACACATGGATCTGATCTCTTTCAGCTGTTTTATTTTTACATTTAAAAAATGTTTTTATCATAAATAATTTTATTTTTTTTACAAGTTTTATTACTGTGATCATGCATCAACTCCTACGTGTTTCCATACCTAACCCTCCCCTCTCGGACTGACTCTTGTCTACTCTTTCTCTGCGCGGACTACAGGCCTAATATGAATTTACCATTTCTACAAAGATACTGTATTATTATTTGTAATCTGTTATTTAACGAGAGAAACGGTTTGCTGATAACAATTCTAATTTGATAGATTTGAAAAGACTTTTGTGTTTCCGATTGTTTTTAAACTTCTTATGCTTTTCATAAATTGCTCTTTTAAGGAAAAAATATTTTACTTTAATACATATAATTCGTCTTTTCCTGTATTGTATACCGTACTTAACTTAAAGCACAGGTAATGATGAATGTTCGATGCTTTCAAATGTCAACTTTGATAATGTATAAGATTTGAACAAAAATATTTTATACAATTCATTTAAAAAAAAACACCTGAATAAACAATTGTTTTATCTTTCGCATTTCTCTCGTCATTTCCTGATGAAAATAATGAAAATGATTAATTATTTATTACTCTACCTTAGTTACCTAGATAATTATCGAAATAGCACACTTTGTGCGTATTGCATTAGCCTAATATACGCGTAAATACAGTTATTATTATTAATAAAATATAGCATTTTTCGATTTACTAAAATTAGCTATGGGATGATGCGAATCAGTTTCTTTCAATAAACCTTCCCTACCTCGTTTCTAAGAGACGACAATATGGAATCGTCCAGCAAAAAATCCATGTTTTAAGTTATTAAACATGAATTAGTTAACATTTCGGCTCGAGAAATATTGCACGGTAGTCAAACAACTTCCTGATAGGTGTAAACATTTTTTAAATAATTTATACTGAACATACTTCATACGCAGATATTAATTAGCCTACATTTAATTATAAAATTGAATCACATATTTTCATTTGATTCATCTTCTATAACATTTAAATGATTTGCTTGTGAAGTTGACCTAACTCCAAAAATAAATAAAATACAAAAAGAAAAAAAAACAATTGCACATTTCTATAAAACTTTGCATAGTGTAATAATATAATTAATAGGAAATAAGGATAGATATTTTTGTATTAAATATCTTATTAAAAATTTTTACAAAGATCAGATGAACATACAAGCAATACATTTAATTCTTGCGCAATTATAAGTATAGGTATTCACCTCATTGTTATAAATTTAACAAAGATTGTTACTGAATGAGATTATATAAAAACAAATTATTGAATATAAATTGTAAAACTTATATGCTCAATAATCTGTAAAATGTTTTATAGATTTTGATCTTATCCATTCTTTGAAAGTTTAATTTTCTGTTTTATAACACTCAATTTTTAAATTAATCTGATTTTGAAGTCACATTTCCAGGTAAAATATCCAATCAAAGCTTATATAGATTGTTTTACAATGAAATAAATAATGAAATGCTAGAAAATATTCATCATGCTTTCTCTATATACATAAAATAAGATTATCATTTCATTTTTTTATGCACTCAGACGAAGGTATATGCAGGTATATAAACACCAAAACATATTTATATACATACTATTAATGTCTAAAAAATAAAATTTAAATTTATTAGCCTACACAATATATAAAAAAAATGGATTTGTAGCTTGAAAACTTTCTTAAAATAATGTAAAATTGTTTTAAAACTTAAATATATATGAACAAAAATATCTATAAAAGAGAAAAAAATATCAGATATGTTCATAAAGAGTGTAAGTTCAGGAAATGAATAAATTCTATTCATTTGTCAAATTTTTAGATGTATCATAAATCGATTACAATAAATTAAATCATAAATACGTATACAACGAAGTAATGATGTCATATCAAATTAAGTTAGTTTAAAGTTTCTAGTATCTGGTGTAAAATGCACACTACCTTCTATTATTCCCGCAGAGTTGGCACAATAACAATAGAAGGAAGTTTATAACGAATAAAAATTATAATTATTTTAAATATATAAGTAAAAAAATTGACTCACTATTTTCGAGAGAAATTTAGAAAAATCCCACTTAATTATTTTTGGAAACATTCTCTGTTTTTAATTTAGAAAACATGTTTCTCGTGATTTGAAACAAAATTTTAAATTCGATTGCTTTTAAAGTATTTTATAAATTCTAAATAATCGAGAAGATTATTAACATAAAGAAAAGTTTTTTTTTTTTTTTACTAGCATAATGCGTAGAAAATATCTTGTTATAAACACGAAATAAAATAAATATATTCGAAATATACGATTTATTTTTGTTGAATAAATATGTCAAGGATTGTAAAAAAATATAAAAATTGAAGAAGAAATCGACTATATTCACACTTCCAATTATAGAGTTAAATGAAAAAATACTGTAATTCCGTCCTACACAGAAAAAGCATATGCAATTGGCAGTTTTATATTGTGTCGTCACAAGAGAAATTTCTTATGCAATCGTTTCGTCTACCAACGAGAACAAGTCGCCCTCTGGGGGTTATGCGAGTGGCGAGTTGCTATGAAAACTCGCAGCCGTGGATGGATGTTAGTGATGTGTATTTTCTAAATTTGTATTTTGTTTTTGATCCTTTTCCAATTGTCATTCATGAATATAAAGTCGTCGCTTTATTTCGTTTATTAAGTGAATTATTTCAGTTGGTTTTTAGTGCTTGTGTGTGTCTATTACCCAAGATAAATTCTAATACAATGTGCGATTACGACAAACTAGGCAATGCACGATCGACTCTTGTTCCTAAATCATCGCCACTCACGCAGGAATATATTATTTCGGAAAAAGTACTCGGTTTAGGAATTAACGGGAAAGTTGTAGAATGCTATAGTAAAAAAACAAGACAAAAATACGCACTTAAGGTAAGTAGGCTGTAATAATTAGTTCTACATCCTTTCACATCAAGAATAGAAATTGAGTTACTGTTGGCGGAAGTTAGATTAACTCGGTTATTTTCATGCTGAACCGTCTATTTCATTTATAAAACAGTTTATTTCCTGAAATATTTAATAATTTAGTAATGCTACTTCCAACTAATCAGCATCCAACTAAGTAATGGCTCACCAAATTTAATTAATGTTAGTCATCATCACTGCTGTGAACAATTATTTCGTTTTAAATTGAGTAATAAAATGTCTGAACGTTCAAATACATATATATTTTAAAAATGTAATATTATAGATAAGTTTGAGATTATTTCATTTGTGAGTAATATTAGTGTAAATATATTGGTAATGGAAGTTTAAATAGAAATCTCTTATCCTGGGTCTATGTTTATGTTAGATAATTAACTTCACTATTTAATAATGTATTATTTGAGTAACACAATAATATAAATTCATGAATTTGTTATAGTTATGAATCTAATTACAAACATTACAATTAGAATTATGTATGCATAATGTAATAAAATTATTATATTGTTTACATATCACATAATGTTAATTAAATTAATACAAACATTTTTGAATTATTATTACTAATCTCTCACAAAATTGGTAGATATTTCATATAAGTTTATTTATTTGAGATATCTACTGATTTTGTGTGTTTATATTAATGTAATACTTAATTATTTGTAAATATATTGGTTCGTAAAAAGTGTAAGAATTTATAATAATATGAAAAGTGAATTCTCTTTTTTTTTCTTTGCTTTGATATCAACTTGTTCAGGGTGACTTAGTTTCTCATCAGATAATCAATCTCTCTTGTTTTATCTGAAGATAGTAAATAGTCTTTTAATAGGAATGGATGAATCAGTTTTTAATACAACACTGTTAATAGCATGAATGTATGTCAATAATCTACAAAACCAATTTAAATATTGTGTAAAAGGAAAAAAAACAATTCTATATTAATTAATGCAACTTTCTTTTCTTAGTTGTTATATATGTTTATAAATCATAATAAAAATGTATTCTTTTATTATAGAAACTATATCTAAAGTAATTTAAAACACTTCAATTCTTATATGTTTAAATTACATATAAAAAAAAAGAACTTGTAGAATATAAAAATTGAAAAAAGTAAACATTAAATAATTCAAAGACTCTTATTTAAAATAAGATATCTTACATTGTTTAATGTTCTCTGAAGAAATGCAACATTGACTACAAAAATAGTTGATAATGAAAAACTATTACTTTGTTAGTTTTAAATTTTTTGAATACATAATAAAATGTATCACTTAAACTTGCTGTTATTATATCCTTATAGCAATGATATAATAACATAATGAATGTTTGAACTGTATTGAAAGAACACTTTTAATGTTTATAATCACAAAATTGTAATGCCACACCTTGGACAAAAGTAATTGATATTAGTAATTCCTGTGTAAATAAGCATGCAAATTAGCTTGATTGTTATATATGGATGTGTAAATTAGCTAGTATTTATAAACCATTTACCTTCATGGTTGTATCCTCAAAATGGCTTACATATCATAACTGTCAGAGAATGCAAAAAGATTATTGCAGGAAGTATGTTCACAAACAGAAGTTACAAAAGCATTTGAATAAGCTCAAAGTTCAGTATCAACCTTGAAAGAAGATCAACTTACTGGTTCAGTATAAATCTAAAGGTCATGCAGAAAATGAAAGAGTAGTGAGAAAGACAACAGGCTGTTACAAAGAATTTGTTCTAACAATTATTTTATGATGTCAAAAGAATTAAATTTTGAATAGACAGAGTGGAGTTAATGCTAGTGATTAAAACAGTAAGAGATGATAGCAAAGCAATAGGCTATAGTACTTGAAAGGCAAAGAAGAGACCAGATATATTGAAGAAACTGTTATGTATCAGACTGAAATGGGTAAAAGTGTACAGAATGAATCCTGAGAGGTAGGAATATATTATCTTTATCAATGAATTGTACATTTACTTGAAGCATGATGATGATAATGATGTATTTGACTGGAGGAAGAGCAAGAAAAATTCCCCAAGCTGTGCTTCAAGAAATCTTCCAAATTTCTGCAGTTCATTCTGATATAAAGATAAATATCATGGAAAGGACAAGGAAAATGTCCTTTCCTTGTCCTTTCCTGCTAGTCTTAAAACAAGTGTAACAGCCAAATTATATATGTAAATTTTGGAATGTTTCTTGTTATCAATGATTAAAGATCAGTATGAAAATGAAGAGATGATGGTTCAAGATGACAATGCTCCATGTATTCAGACTAAATGTATGAATGATTTTCTTGGTGCATGCCACTTATATATGCTGTGTAATATATATATATACAAGGTGCGTTCCATAAGTAATGCAACCAATTTTTTCATGATGCAATGATATGCCATATCTAGTTCTAACCTGCTGCGCTAGATGGCATGGGTGTTAGCTTCACTAGATGGCATGGGTGTTAGCAAAACTCTCTTGGTCTCATTTGCTTCTAAGCTGCTGGTGGGTGAGGACGTTCGTTCCTGTGAACCCCGTTTTGAGATAATGTAACATGGCGCAATGGATCATTTTGTGGAGCATCGTTACGCTATCAAATTTTGCATTAAACTTGGGAAGTCCACCACTGAAACCTTTACATTAATTCAGCAGGCCTTTGGGAGTGATTGTTGTCCAAATCACACGTTTTCCAATGGCACAAGTTGCCCCACCTCAAGAAGGTATGCATGAGCAAGTTCAGGATCAAAACCATGCTCATCGTCTTCTTTGACGTCAGAGGCATTATCCACCACGAAAGCTGCATTTACAGTGGTCCTAGCAGGTATCACTGTAAATGCAGCTTTCTACTTGGAAGTGCTCAAAAGACTGAAAAGGAAGGTCGCGTGTTGCCAACGTGACATCAAGGACATGTGGAAACTTCATCACGACAATGCACCAAGCCACAGCATGCTCATTGTCAATGATTTCCTGGCCACCTTACAGTCCTGACCTGGCTCCCACCGACTTTTTTTTGTTTCCTCGCTTAAAAGGGACCATGAAAGGGAAACATTGGGACTCGATTGAAAACATCAAGGCTTATGTTACATCAGCTCTAAAGGACATTCCGGAGAAGGCCTTCCAGAATGCCTTCCAGGCCTGGAAACACTGCCTTCACAAGTGTATCGATGCAGGAGGGTGCTATTTCGAAGATTTTTGACTAATATGTTTAATAAATTATTTTTTATGAATTTGGTCGCATTACTTATGGAATGCACCTTGTATATAAGTGGCATGCAGAGCATATATATATAATATATATATATAATGTGCTATATAATATATACAGCACATTATAAATAGTCTAGACATGAATTCAATTGAAAATTTTGTCATCTCTATGTGCATACGGAACAATAGCCATNATTTTTGGATAACATAACAGGTCAAATATAAAGTAGGTAGGGAGACCAGGGCAGGTTGGAACAATACGCATACGGAACAATAGCCATTTCAATTTTTACAATTTGTTGTGTATTCAGACTAATTAAAGCTAATAAAATGATATTTTGCTTTATCAATTATTTTGTCCATGAGTTGTATTTGTATATTTTTAGGGTAATTTATAAAAAGTTATACTTTGAGTTTTCTTTTAAAAATTAAAACAAACTACTTTCTACAATAAAAAATAATTTATTAGGAACATTTTCAGCCTACTGATTAGTTGGCTTCAGTTAAGTGCCATTTTGAACTATTAGTAAAAGCAGTTTGTTTTTTAATATTAGAAATATGTAATATTTTAAATATGGTTGTTGAAAATAGTATCATCTAAAAAATCTATCATTATAGATAAGCTAACTAACTAAATGTGATAAAAAGCAATTTTTTGTTAGTGCAATTGTGGTTAGTTAAATTTCAATAAAGAAGTTAAAGGATTTTTTACATTTTAAAAACTTTAGCATTTTGATTTTGTAAGTTTATTATGCTTGTTTAAAAAGAATTTAAATTTTTCAAGTGATACAGTTTTTCTGAAATATGAAAGTTGAGTTAATAGGTGCTTTCGAGAAATAGAAAAAAATATAAACTAAAAAAAAATACCTGTAATAATTTAACATTTTGCCATTATTTGCTATTATATATGATGGAAACTTGATTATCTAGATGTGACCACAGGTTCTTTCAGATAATCCAAAATCTCAGTTTTTTGTGTTTTAGGTATAAGATCAAGAACTGTGCATTTAATTTTATGAACAACTAGCTGCAAGGACCTGCTTTGCTGGGTTTTTATTTGTATGTAATATAGTTTTTTTTATATACAGTCGACCCCCCTATAATTACGGTCCCTATAGTTACGATTCCTATAAAACTACGAAAAAATTGCTACCGGTATCCGTAAAAAATAGTAAAAGTTCCCTATAAACACCTCAAACGTCATCGGGAAGCCGAACTACTTTCCCGCCGTCCGTAGCGCCACGCTACGGAGAGATTTCTATCGTCTGGACAGTATTATATAAATTATATATNAGAACAAAAACAAATTATCTTTAAAACATAACCGACGAGTTGTAGCTTATCTACATTATATACTTTCTCTCAATAATATGAAACAAGATCAGAAATGCATTTTTTTTTTTTATTCCAAGAAAGTACAAAGTGTTCTGTCAGACTATAATCTAATCTTGTTTCCACCTAACCTGTTTTAACAATGGTAGCAACCCCTAAATTTCCCCACAGGAACTACACTCCAGGAGTGCATTTCCTGTAACTTTCATATGAAGGAATAAAGTAGACAGAGAAAAATAAGTTGTGTACATTTATATATATACACACACGTTAATGTGTGATAATTATACCTTTATGAGTTTATTTATCTTTCAAGGAATGTTTCTTTTTTGTAACTTTTTTTAGGTTAAGATGGGATGGTACTAATTGCTCGATAATAAAATCGAATAAGACTCATACCAAATGCGGTTGCTCTCATTTAACTAA